AGCTATAAAAATGAACCATACTCTGACTCTCAAACATGGCATCAGCACTCTGCCACATTAGAATCACATCAGTATGAGATTGAACCCAGGAACATTCTACCTTTGAGCTACATCCCCAACCCTTTATTTTATTTTGTAGGGTCTCACTACATTGCCCAGGATGACCTTGAACTTGCAATCCTCTTGTCTCAGCCTCCTGAGTAGCTGGGATTGTGGGGTGTGCGTCACTGCACCCAGAGACAGTCAGATTTTTTACCTAAGGCCTCAGGCTTCAAATTACTTGGAAGAAAGTTTGATAACAAAGTAATAGTTATTGCCAAGAGGCATTGACTTAAGGAACTCAGAAACTATAAAGAGGATTATCTTGAGAACCTTAACAATATACTTGGTCCAGCTGCTAAATCCTATAAACCTCAATATCATAATCCATGAAACATGTAGAATAATATTTAGCTCAGTCACAATATTTGGTTCACTAAAGGCTTTCAAAAATGTCATGTATAATTAACTAATAAACCTTCCCATATGGTGTTACAATGGTTTTTTTCTTGGCCCTACTAGGCCTCAGGTATTGGTAGGCAAGCATTCTACCACTGAGTTGCACCCCAGTCTTATAGTGGTTACCAGGAGTAGGAGCTAGACAAGTGCTTTGCATATTTTCTCAGTAATCCCAACTTCTTACTAGAGGAGGAGGTTGAGCAGTGTTTTGTTCAAGGTCACAAAACCAGTGAATGCTGTTCCAGGATTCCACCCTTTATGTCTCAGGCCCAAGTCCCGTGCTTCACTCCTGATCCACCACTGCCCTCTGCTGGACAAGCAATAGTACTGCCTCCCTGTGCTGGGTACCACATTTTAATTAGGCCTCCAGAAGAGCTGCCAGAGCTTTTCCATCAGATGAGGGAAAGGGGCAAGCAGGGAGGATGGCAGGAGGGTATTTCTTGTCTTCAAAGCCACTGCAGACCCCTTCAAGTTGCACCAGTCAAAAATATACATATTATTTTGATATGAGGACATTATTAGGATAATTGGTGACATTTGAATAAGGTTACATAAAAGTCAAGGGGAATTGTGTCTACAACTTTCAAATGATTCAGGAAAAAAATGTGTGTGTGAAGAAAGTAAGCAAAGGAGCACATCAAGTTTAAAATGTGGCAAAATGTAAAACATTTAGAGAGTTTGGGTGAAGGATGTTGAGAATTCTTTATGTACTTTAATAACTCTTCTGTAAGTCAAACTATTCAAAATTAAATAATTATATTTCCAGGAAGCTACCAACTATTGCTCCCCAGGTTTAGGGGATATTCTCTGGCAACCAGAGGCATGTATAGGACACTACAGGTTTATCATTCA